GTCTCTTTAAATTTGTTTCCTTTTCAAGTACTTGTATACTTGCCACTGGCAGTCTTTTGTAGAGTTGAAAGCTTTAGCTTTGTGAGTATGAGTGAACACACACTGGAAGTGTTTTGGATATAATAACTGGGGATACCTGGATGGGAGGAAATGGAAGTGTTTTATGCACTCAGTTCTGACATTTTATTAAACTTTTAAGACAATGCAGTGTGTTACTGCAAAAAATAAAGAAGCTAAAATCTATATATTAAATTGTTGTGTCACTGGAAAGCTTCCACGGAGTTGAGGGCTTTAGCTTTATTTTTTTTCTTTAAGGACTGCAGCTGCAGCGGCTCATGTCAAAATTTGAAATGCAGGCAAAAGTGGGTGCACGGATGCACAAAAATGCAGACACTGTACGTTCAGATCCATGCACCGGCTCTTGACCGCAAATCAAATTTTGACATGCGGCTGTGACTTTGCAGTAGTTGTGTCTGCATCCACTTCTATGGGCTGCCTGTGCATAGCTCCAAGGTGCATGCACATGCATCAAAAAGTGTCTTAACACAGAGAATGGGTCTCAGCAACTGTGTAAATGAGCCCTTAGAATAAACTTTTCTATAGCTTTTAGATCTGTTGTGCCCACTACTTCCCTATTCAATTTAGGCCTATTACGGCTGGATAAAAAAATCTGCTGCAGCAGTTCCACATTACAGACCCCCCTCCCAGCTACCGACCTGCACAGCCTGCCTGTCTATCACAGCATTAAATCAATTATCCTATGCCCACAGTAAAAATAGTGATGCTTGTGTCTCTCTTACAGTCAGAAACTGGTTAGGCCAGAGTTCAGACCTGGCTAGCTGTATATTGTTCAATGTTAGTGGGAAGCTGGAGTCTCAAGCAGTTTTGAAAAAACACAGGAATTCTTTTAACTAATATGACTTTGCAAAAAAAAAAAAGTATCCAATTTGTCACCGAGTAATAAAAATAAAAAAGCCATTGACTTTTGTTCTGTGGTCCACTGACACTCAGGTGAAGAAGCCACGGTCTGCCCCATCCCAATCGACACATTTAGTGGCCTAGCTGGCACAGAGCACAGAAATTCAATCTCTGTCTGTCAGCCCTAGGATTTCCATGTTTAAAGTGGTAAACAGTGGTATTTAATCATAATGAAAAGCAGCGGTGGTTTTCACTGTCTTTATGTGACAAAAGTAGAGTCTTCTTTCTGGGAACAAAGGTAGTTTTATAACTCAACAAAAGTGCAAATTTTTTAAATGTGCACATTTTTATAAAGGCACAAAAATATCTTTTTTGTGAATCTTTTAATGTTAATAGTTGGGTTGTTGATAGTTAATACAGGGTTAAATAAGAAAACATTTTTTAAAAAGTAAAAAAAAAAATGACAAACATGGAATGCTAATTATGTGCTGTAATCTGCAAGAAAGTTATTTTCAGAATCAGATACAGTTCTTGGAATTATCAGATGGCAAAAGGCCACAAATCCTGGGGGTGCAAGCATCCACTTCAAAGTTGTCTGATACACCACCAACTGGCTTTTTCTTGTCAATTGGTTTGATCATCCATAACATCAATCCAAATATTGTACAATGTTCCTTACAGCTTTAAACTCTCATATTATTTGTTATACCTTAGTATAATTTTACTATTGAATGCAGTGTATACTGCAGGTTAATCAATAACAATGAATGTTTCATATGAACCTCTTTTACTGAGTGGTAGAAGGCAATTACACAATGCAAATAGGCAAGGTTAAATAAACATTCCACTCTTTTATAGCAATACAAAATTCTTACTATGCTAGCAATTAAAACAAAGTCTTGAAGCAGTAGAAGCAGTAAGGGATGATTAAGGAAGTGGCATAGGGGACAACATGGCAAAACATAGTGGAATTAATTCACAGCCCTAAATGTTAAGGCAGAGCCTTTGTAAGTTTATAAACAGTATAAATGTAATATATTTGGTATGATAAAACACATTTTTTTCTGTTAGGTGATATTTTTTTCGGCAGTATATCTCACTGTCATATCTGCCAACCATAAACTCTTAATCAGTAAATCTTGATGTCCACTTGATAGATTGCTTGTTGCTGAGCTATGATAAACATCAGTCTGGTAAAAGCGTAATCTTCAACAACACATCCACCTTGTCATATGCTGGTTTTGATATGTTGATATGTACAATTTTTTTGTGCATTCTTAAAATCATGTGCCTTTTTCACATGAATTGTAACTGAAGTGAATGTTCACACAATTTGTTGTGTGAATATTCTCAAATCTCATAGTAAATCTGTCTTAGTATACAGTAGGTATACTCCTTTGACAGCAATTGCAACCTTTATAGATATCAGCTTTGTACATCTGAATACTGAAATTTTTTCTAATTGCATACTTTCTTCAGCTCTCTTGGGTTGCATTGTACTTGTGAATGCATAGCTTTGTTAGGTTCTGCCACATATTCTTTATTGCATTTGGATCTGGAATCTGACTCAGTGATCCCTGGATATTAACATTGTTTTTAAAGTGGTGGTAAATATTTTTTACCTTACTGAATTCTGTGCAATAAGGTAAAAAAACCTTCTGCATACAGCTTTCCTCTCAGGCACCCCCCAAAATACTTACCTGAGCCTGATCTCCATCCAGCAATGTGCATCAGTGACTGGTAAGGACCTTCCTTAGCAATTATTGACAGCCAGAAGATTTTCACATTAATTTGAGTCAAAACAGCATACAGACTGGATGTCGCTCCATTTCCTCTAATTGAACAATTGAACCTTTCCAAAACCGAGCTCCTGATTTTCCCCCCAGCCCGGCCCCCCCTACCCTCTCCATCACGACAAACAACGCCACCATCAGTCCCACCCCGCAAGCCAAAGTCCTAGGTGTCACTCTGGACTCAAACCTGTCCTTCCAACCCCATGTCCAATCATTGGCAAACTCATGCAGGCTCCACCTCCGCAACATCTCCAAAATACGTTTGTTCCTAACCCCAGACACTACTGAACAACTTGTTCACTCCCTTATTATCTCACGTCTGGACTACTGCAACTCCCTTCTCACCGGCCTACCTCATCACAGACTATCCCCGCTTCAGTCTATCCTGAACTCAGCGGCCAGACTCATCCACCTTACCAACCGCTCCGCTTCTGCCACGCCCCTCTGCCATTCCCTCCACTGGCTCCGATTGCCCAACGCATTAAATTCAAACTACTAACACAGACATACAAAGCCATTCATAACGCTGCCCCAAACTACCTCACCGACCTGATACCCAAATACCACCCTACCTGTAATCTTCGCTCCTCACAAGACCTCCTACTTTCTAGCTCCCTGGTCTCCACCTCCCACAACTGACTGCAGGGCTTCTCCCATCCTCTGGAACTCACTACCCCAATCCATCAGACTGTCAAGTACTCTCCTCACCTTTAGGCGCACCCTGAAAACCCATCTCTTCAGGGAAGCCTACCCCGCCCTCACCTAACAGCTGATCTCCTCCACTCCTCCTACCACTCCATCCCCCACAGCCACTTCCTCCTGTACCACTATCCCCTCCCTCCTAGATTGTAAGCTCAAAAGAGCAGGGCCCTTGCCCCCCTCGTGTTTTGTTTTGATATTGTATTGTCTCATGTTCTGTCCCCCACTATAATGTACAGCGCTGAGCAAACCTTTTAGTGCTATATAAATACTGTATAATAATAATATAATAATACTGTAAACAGCCAGTGTTTGGTACGAACTTACGCTCGGACTGAACACTATACTTACCTCTAAATACAATATCCAAAAGTTAGAAACCTTTTCTGTGGGAAAAAACACTGTTTATGGAGTGTTCACTGCTTTAGTATTCAGGCACATTTGTAATATATGAATATTGTTTTTACTTGTTATAACTTGATATATCCTAGCTGAGCAGTTTGGTCCAGGAAAAAACTCTGCACCCATAAACAGTGCACTCGTAAATTACCCTATTTTGTCCTTTTTAAACTGTTGTCTGTTAGCATGATGCAGGGGTTGTGACGGACACACACAGTTTTCCAAGGTGTCAGATACTGAACTACATATCAGCATTCTCATTGTAAGGAAAAAGTATAAAATAATAACTTCTTATAAGCAGAAATAAATGCTCACTAAAAGTCTACCCTGACTTTTTATAGTAGACAGACATTCTTGTTAAATAATGCATAAACTGAGCAGAGACATGATGGAGACGCTGTTCATCTGCATAGGGAAAAGAGCAGACAGATGTCAAAGACAGGCCACAGCTATCACTATGCCCACTGTTTGTCATCCTTTCTGAACTCTCTATGTATTCTTTGTGGCTTGTGTGTTATTCTTTGCGCACATTCCTTTCTGTGTTCTGCTAACTTTATTCTCAATAATATTGTTTATATACCCGTTATATTACCCTGTACTGTGGCCATCCAGTGTCCTTTCTTTCAATTACCAAATTCATATTTTCAGAGCACAAAATAAACCACAGGTATTGGAGGATGTTCATAACTAAGGACAGAAATTCCCATAAATGACACAACTATGCTTCATTTATTGCATCTCTATATTCAAACTTCTTGTTTTATAGAAAAGCTGTTCAGCAGTTCTTTCAGCGCCCTGGAAGAGATACACAGATTGTTAAGGCAGAGCTCTCAAGATAACTATGAAATAAATACCGAGTACAGAAAGGACAGAACTTTTGTAGGTTTTTTTATTGCTGTGTCCTCAATGGGGAGATTCACCTACTCTGTCTGTTCTGGTGACATAAGCGTGTGCACAGAGTGTGTCAGATGTGCCTAGGCACACCCTAATCACCCTTAGCTGCCAACATTCTTAGATGATATTCACATTATCGAGATGACTCTCAGCCCCCTACCATCTCCCCCAGCTGTTTCAAGTACTCTGCCTCCCATGGAGGACTGCAGAAACATCCTCAAGGGGGATCCTGCCTCCTCCTTGCTTTCCACTAGTACTGCAGTTAAGTTTGAATGGGCACTATACTGCCAAAAATATTGGGACAACCTTCCAAATCATTGGATTCAGGTGTTCCAATCACCTCCATGGCCACAGGTTTATAAAATCAAGCACCTAGGTATGCAGACTGCTTCTACAAACATTTTTTGAAAGAATAGGTGCTCAGTGAATTCAGGCATGGCACCATGATAGGTTGCCACCTGTGCAGTAAGTCCATCCATGATATTTCCTTGCTACTAAGTATTCCATGGTCAACCGTTAGTGGTATTATATTAAAGTGGAAGCAACTGGGAACAACAGCAACTCAACCAGGAAGTGGTAGGCCACGTAAACTAACAGAGCGGAATCAGCGCATGCTGAAGCACACAGTGCACAGAAGTTGCCAACTGTCTTCAGAGAAAATAGCTAAAGACCTCCAAGCTTCATATGGCCTTCAGATTAGCAGAACAACAGTGCATAGAGAGATTCATGGAATGGGTTTCTATGGCCAAGCAGCTGCATTCAAGCCTTACATCACCAAGTGCAATACAAAGTACCGGATGCAGTGGTGTAAAGCACACCACTACTGGACTCTTGAGCAGTGGAGCCATATCACACTTCTCTGTCTGGCAATTTGATGGACATGTCTGGGTTTGGAGGTTGCCAGGATTGCACACTGGTGCACAAGCAAAGTCCATAAAGACATGGACGAGCAAGTTTGGGGTGGAGGAACTTGACTGGCCTGCACAGAGTCCTGACCAATTCAATATTGAACCCTAAGGACTAAGACTGGGATGCCAGTTAATGTGAGTGTAAAGGCAGGCGATATAGTGTGAGTGTGTGTGTATATATATACTGTGTGTGTATATATATATATATATATATATATATATATAAAATGTGTGTTTGAGCTTTGGGCTGCACACCTTAATGCAATAGGCACATCAATGTCTGGTGACTATTATTGATAGACAGAAAGTAATGGGAAATCCAAATGTTTTCAGTTACCATCTCTAGAAATTCACTACTTTTAATGCAAATCGTACAGGAATCTGAGTACATGGTATTTCTATGCCCATCTCTGCAAACTTGCCAGAATTGATGCCAAAATTTTGATTTGACTGCCAGGTCATTACTGAAGTCAGTAAAATCTGACTGCAATGCCTGTAAATATGTATAACGTGTGATGTCTTTCTCGTGATGCTGCAGCAGAAAGGATGGGGGAACCAGGGGTGTATTTGCCGAGAGGCAAACAAGGCGTTTGCCTAGGGCAGCATTTTTCAGGGAGGCGGTGCGGTGCCGCCGCCGCCCCCCCCCCTTCACACGGAAAGGCACTTTCATGGGAAAGGGACAGGGGCTTTTGTGTCTTACCTGTGTCCGCGACTCTATGTCACACTTCAATCCGGTCCACAAGGCGCTGCTGGAGGAGGGGTGGAGAGGGTGTCTGTCAGGTGTCTTCATCTCCCTGGATCTTGAACGCGATGTGGGTGGGATGACATGCCGCCCCTCTCATCTGGCCACACCCCTGGGATTACTGTACTGCCTATGGAAGTCTGTCCCTCCCTCTGCAAGCTCCGCCTCCGATCGCAGTGTAAAGATCGAAGAAGAAGATCGAGTGAGGGACGAGCTGGAGCAGATGAAGAGGAGGGGACTTGCTGGAAGAGAAAGACAGATGATTGGTAATGTAAGTGTAGCTGGGATCTGGGCAGAGCAGATGGTGCTACTGCAGCTGGCTGTGGATGGCAGAGGGAGGGGAGGGAGGGAGCCCAGGCTGGAGCAGGGGTCAGCACAGCAATGTAAGCATCATTGGTGTCAGCAGGAGGAATAGTGCCCCATCATTGGTGTCAGTGGGAGAAATAGTGCCCCATCATTGGTATCAGTGGGAGGAATAGTGTCACATCATTGGTGTCAGTGGGAGGAATAGTGCCCCATCATTGGTATCAGTGTGGGAGGACTGGTGCCCCCTGTGTTGTTGTCAGTGGGAGGAATAGTGCCCCATCATTGGTGTCAGTGTGGGAGGAATAGTGCCCCATCATTGGTGTCAGTGGGAGGAATAGCGCCCCAATGTTGGTGTCAGTGGGAGGAATAGCGCCCCATGATTGGTGTCAGTGGGAGGAATAGCGCTCCATCTTTGGTGTCAGTGGGAGAAATAGTGCCCTATCATTGGTGTCAGTGGGAGGAATAGTGCCCCGGTGTTGTTGTCAGTGGGAGGAATAGTGGCCCATCACTGTTGTCAGTGGGTAGAGCTCTAATAGGAAGGGGTGGAGCTTAAATAGAAAGGGGTGGAGTTTACTGATGAAGGGGTGGATCTTAAACAGGAAGGGGTGGGGCAAATTTAGATGCGGGGGGTGCCCAATCTTAGTCTTGCCTAGGGCAGCACAAAACCAAAATACACCACTGGCAGAAACGATGTGCTAAGACTGAAACTTAGGGTTGATGGTTCCAGGATTGGATGTCTTCTGGAACTGGGCACTAGACTTTATGGAACTGAGAAGAAGCAGCCAATCTGCACCCTACCTACATGTTCCTCACTTGTTGCCTTGTAGATACATTTAGATGCGCACAATTTTGGCATAAAATCAATGTCAGCTGGGACAATTCATGTTATGTCTGTATGAGAGAAAAAAACTGTTCCTACATATTTATAATTACACATATGGGATGATATTGATATTTCTGGCAGAGCAGTAGCTGTATTGTACACACTGTGGGTGTGTACAATATAGCAGCAGCGTTGTGCTCAAAATATCTTTACTCCTATAAAAACCTTATCCTTATGCACATGTCAGATGTATTATACACTATAGTTGTACTGAATGCATTTAATTAAGTTCCTATACACACCAAACCTGTACAGAACACACTATAAATGTATTCCTGTACACACTATACTTGTACTGAACACACTATAACTGTGTCCACGTACACCTGCAAACTTGCTGGAATTGACTCAGCAATGTGGAATTTCGATCCAGTTGCTTGGACCGTAACAGAATCAGGATTCTCTGGGAAGGTCTTAATTGTCTATAAACATACAGGGTTCATGACATTATTTTCCTGTTCTGTACTGTGTGGGGTAAAAAGTGGACCAGGTGGGTGGGTGAGCTAAGCTTACCTGATCACCATTGTAGCTATGCCTCTAAATTGCGGGACATGCTGGTAGCTGGAGAAAGCATGGAGAGCTGAGATATGTGGAGAGGAGGAGTGCTAGTCATGCTGGGTTTAATTCTGTCTGGCGAAACAGTACATGAAAGAGGTAGTTTCCTTATAGAACTACATGCCCCAACATTTGTACTGGAACTAGTAGATCCACAAAAGAAAGGAGGTGACAGGACTAGAGTATGGAACATGTCATTCTTTTTGTCACTACTGTCACTTTTATTGCTGCACTTATTGCCACAGCTGACTGTTTGTTACTCTCACATTGCCACAATTGCCCCTTTGTTGCTTGTATGTTGTCAGTATTGCCCGTGAACCTATACTTTAAGCCAATCCCACTTTTAAGGTGTAATTTGGGCACATCCACTATCCATCTCTACCACCACTCCACCCTTACTCCATTCTCTTTCTCAGGGGATATAATTTTCAAAAGTTCCCAAATATAATTACACTTCCATTTCTGCTTTACAGTCAAATTTCTCAAACAACATTAGAATAGTTATTACTTACAGCACTGTTCATTCCAGGCATGTGATATGGAAGATGGTGCTAGGAAAATAGGTCCTGATGCTTGGGCAGGGCTGTGAACTCTGAAAAAAAGATGAACTTTTACTAGACATCTCAGCAATTCCAGGAGGCTTGGTGGTCAACAAATTCATCCCATGTAAAGGGTTTTGCTACCAGGGCATATTAGCAATTTCTACATAAAAGCACTGCAAACTTTATTTAGTTACATTTTCTACAAACAAATAGGATTTGTTTTTTATGTCTACCTGGAATTCCTCTTTGTAGCCAGAAAAGCATAACCTGAAAGCATCTCTGATGTTGTTTTCATGCTTTTAGGACTTTACTGGCAGTTTCACAAGTTAAATGATTAATATAAACATTTATTAGGTTTTTTTTTTTTCTTTCCTGTTGTATCCATTCAACTACAATACTGTAAATGATTCAAATCATTCAGGGCTCTGGATGATTAGGGGTTTTTTATGAGCGAAATATATTCTTGTAACGTAGATTAAGCAACAATGAGGAGGATCAAGCCTTATCTGCTGCCAAATTTATTCCTGTAAAATAATATATTATCTTCTAATTAGGTCTTATTTTTTTGGCTCTATTTTGCAAAGCCAAAATACATGACATGTTGTTTGTTCTACGTTTCATTCAGCAGACTTTACTTTAGCTAATCTCACTACATTTTACAGTAACTTCATACAAGGTGTCCACAGTTAGTACCCCTAATTTGGGAGAGAAATTGTCCTACACAGAAAACAATGGCCCTGGGTAATTATGTAATGTCCTCAAACCTGCCTTCATCCAACCTTCACAGTTCCAATGAGGCTTAGAAAAGAAATAAAGAAACAAAAAGGGAACTCTAAGATTTTAGTCAGTAAAATTAATAATTTAATATCAATCTAATATGCATTATGGAGCTTTGTTCCTGTTCTAATACTGTAACTGTTACTGGTGTGTTGGTCATTACTTGGTCCAGGTACAAGGAAGGTCATAACTAGTAGGAGGACCCATATATACAGTGAGTTAAGAGGGTTAAGCTACACAGGCTTGCCAAAATGGGTGGATCTGCTAGTTACCATGTTGCTTCTACAGAGCACTGGGAGCAGTGTTTGGGAATCTATAGACATTTTTTTGAAGTACCAATTCATAACTGTGTTGCCCCTTAAATAATATGATGAAAAGAATAAAGCTGGCACACACTTAGAACTTGGAAACCCTAGAATCATGCAACAAATTTTGTATCCTGCCGTGATACAGTGACAGCAGATTGAATTTATATAAGCTGCTATGTGTGTTGTGTGATCACATAGGGGCTGGTAGATTGAACCACAGCATGCAGTAGAGGACCAGGTAACCGACACCTGAAAGTATGCTTCAAGCACTATCAAATGAAATTGAACATAACATGATGCTCCTGTAGAGACATTATTGTCTAGTTTAAATGT